GGGACATCTCTCCCCTGCTTTCTGGAAGCAACGACCGCCGGTGCAGTTCCTGGACAGGGCCCACCACAACTATGCTCAGCGGCCGCCGCCTGGGGCGCTTCCAGTCGACAAGTCGTTTCATGGTCCAGCGACGCGGGCACGTCTCCAAGTGAATGAGGCTCGCGCCACTGCTGCCGCCTGTGCTTCAAATGTCAAGCTCCAGCGTGTTCTTACCTCCTCGCTCCGTGCCTCTCGTTTTCCTGACTCTTTCCATCTCGCCATTGAGAAGCGGCTCCAGTCCTGGGACGTTCCACACCCGAGGGGCCCCTGGCCTCCGCTTAGGTCCTTGCTGGAGCCACTAGCCCCTTCTTGGCAGTCTGCGGTCGTGAAGACTCTTTGTGGTGGCTGGCTCACATCCGCGAGGTTGCACATTCCGTCGGGTGTCCGAGACTGTCTTTGCGAGTGCGGTTGCGATCATCAGCGTGGCACTTTTCAGCACTACCTGCGCTGCCCTGTTCTCTGGTCGCAGAGCGCCACTGGACTCGGTGATGCTTCGGAGAATGTGGCGTCCAGAATCGGTCTGGACGGGGCTCCGACGGTTGTGCAGGTGGAGTCGATTGTTCTGGCCTATCATTGTTAAAATTCCATTCGTGTTCGAACTCGCCCAGCTGAGGCCGAGGTGAGCACTTATCTCTATCGGATTCGGCGGGCCGCGGTGGCGCTCGTCGAGGCATCTCGTGCGCTTTAGGCTCTCGTTGAGACCCTTGTGGCGCCCCTTGGTACGAGCGACGTGTTCCAAACGTGCTACCAACTGGGCTTTGCGCGTGCGCATCTCGGAGTCGCAAGAGCACCCTTGTGCGCGTGCTGTCGCGAGAATCCTTTGCGACAGATGGGGCGAAGTGCGCGCGCGCGTCGTCGCGCGCGCGCGCCAGAATCTCAGAATCTCTCAACGGCCGGAGGCTTCGCAAAGAAATCAAAATTCGAGTGCCCCGAAAACATGTGAACCAAGGCGCGCGGTTTCGCGGCGTCAGTTTTCAGGAAGGAGCTGGCGCTCGCCGTGTTGCGAATTATAGGTTTTCAACGTGTCCATACAATTCTGCCAAACGGCCCTCTCGCGCGGCATGTTGACGCCTTTGCGCGCGTGCTGGGGGCGGGGCGCGATCCGTGCCAAATGATCCCCTGCGGGCCACTCTCGCGTGTCGGCCGCGCGCGCGTGTCAAACTCCTTCCAAAACCTTCTTCGCCGACGCGACGACGTCCTCGTCGTCGGCGCGATCAGCATCGGCGCCGTCGCTGGCCGCGCCGTCGTCTTTGTCGTCATCGTTACCAGCATCGTTTCTATAATGATCGTTTCTACCTTTGTCGAAATTGCCATATACCATGCCCACCCAAGTCGACGATTCGCGGTGAAATGCCCGCTTGGGAGCGCCCGGCGGTCAGCGCCGCCGCGGCCGCGTCGGTCGCGCCAGACTAGTTGGCCGTTCTTCGCGCGAGCATGCGCGCTAGCGCGGCCGCGGCGATGCGCCGGCCAGCGCCGAGCAGGCATCGCAATCGCCGCCGCATGGGTTTTGCAAACCACATTGCGGGTGGACGGTTGAAATGATTGCGTGAGCAGTGGAGTTGACAGTTTCAAGTTCGGCAGGGTGACGTGCGCCACGCATATTGCGCCGTATATGTATAGCTAAAAAATAATTTATAATACTATACGGTAGTATGCTATATTGGAATATATTACTTACGGTTGTAATATTTTATATCATATCATACTATATCGTAGTATTGATCGCTAGTTTGTTACTTTATCTAGTGGTATATTATATGGCTTTACAGTAAAATATATGATGTCGCAATACATTCTGTTGTTGTTATGATATCACGTTTCACACTGTCCGACTATCTTACAACATTTCAATATGTTCCATGTTATTGTGTTATAGCATCTTGGCTTGACAACACATTGTATTGTATTGCATTTTTTTCGAATCGTTTTATGCTGTTTTCCTTTTTTATATAATATGGTATTACATCTTCTTTGTTCACTGTGTTTGATTTTACGTACCGTATCAGAGCATATGGTATTTTTTCATAATCCTTCATACGATATGAAATTACATGGGCTTGTTTCGTATTTGGATGCGTGTTTACTTTTGTATGCTAGCACCTTTATGTATATAGTATTGTTACTGTATAGTACAAATGACTTACGATACACTATATAGTATCTACATATAAATATACATGAACGTACGTATCTATGTTTGTTTGTGAGATATATATATATATATATATATATATATATGCGTGCATACTCATGTGTATACATACGTGCATGTATATGTATGTATGTATGTATGTATGTATGTATGTATGTATGTGTATATACTTACAGTGTGCACAACTTGTATTGTACAACGTAGAATGCGCAACGTTTACTTTCCTTTCAAAAGAGATCTGGACTCTACACCCTCCTCCTGGGAGTTAACGTTAACGGTCCACTTTCCGTATTGCAGTTTACATGTGGT